CTGATAGAGTCACGACTTACAATATCACAACTAATAGTATAATATCTGACTGTATCACAACTGTTAGTATTACATCTGACAGAATCACAAGTGACTGAATTACATCTGACAGAATCACAACTGACTGAAATACATCTGACAGAATCACAAGTAACTGAATTACATCTGACAGAATCACAAGTGACTGAATTACATTTGACAGAATCACAAGTAACTGAATTACATCTGACAGAATCACGAGTGACTGAATTACATCTGACAGAATCACAAGTGACTGAATTACATCTGACAGAATCACAAGTGACTGAATTACATCTGACAGAATCACAACTGACAGTATCATATATAATTTCACGTCTGATTCTACAGTAACACACCGAGTATTGAAAACTATATAGCCACGTTCAATGAGATGATATGAGATAACCTAAGACAAACGCCGCTGAGAGAGGTCAAAGGTGATGGACTCGACTTCATCTTTGGTATCGACGGTATTGCACAGTATATAGAGGATTGGGGACTTGACTGCAGGCATTATTTGAGCTATTACGGCACAGGAGTAGGATTATCATGAAGATGATGTAAGATGGTACATTCACTATCAACACAACAACATCTGTCACACTAGTAATATCATATAAAACATCCTGACATCTGACAGTGATGTCTTCAGGCCAGAAAGGTCACGTTAGCGATATTCAATGTCACAACATCGAGCAGGATTGGCTCAAAGACAGTTTCGTTTCGTTTCTTGAAAACTATAAATATTTCGGCTATATTGAACGGCAAAATGGTATAGGGAGAACTGTCATTAACGGAAGGTTTCTTGAAGAAGAGGAAGAGATGGACCAGCACGATGGTAGACGCATATTATCAAGGACACTCTGGACTAGAAAGGTTCAAGAGGCACGAAAATTAACAAGATACCAAGTGGCTTTCCAGTGTTCTGTGATAAAAACAATTTTTGTAAAGAAACACTACACAATGATGAAGATAGCAGTCTGCCAGACAGCGGAGGTTGCACAGGCAGAGAAACGGAAGCAGACTAGAAAGAATTGTACTGCTAATTCCACACTTACTGCGGCTTCCACCTATTGTCCGCACTGCTCAAGAACTTTCCAGGCTCATACTGGACTAATCATCCACCTTCGTTCTCATAATCATTCATTGATCATTACTACTTTGGATGAAAGTGATCTTCATCACTCGCGATGGAGGAACAACCTTTAATATAAACACGATTAATAGCAGTGTATACAAAAAAGCATTACATTCGACAGACGTGCAGATTTGGACAGAACAGATAGTCGTACCTCTGACATCTTCAGTTCTGATCTGTGGGGAAAGATATTGGCTTTGTCCTTGACACTAAGTGCCCTAGACAGGCACAGATTGGCCAGTTTGAGTTGACCCTCGAGGTCAGCTCTGGTCTGGTTGGCAGCATCCAGCTGTCTGGTCTTCTGCATGAGCTGCACCTCGAGCTCGTTGATCTGAAACAAGAACCACATATGAGGGTTCAAACCGTCGTTTTCACGGGAGAGCGGGCATGCGAATTGTAGTTTGAGTTATTTACTGTTATATAATTTCTTTTTATTCTTCTTCGCATTCGTGGTACAACCAAATAGTGGCATAACTCACAAAAAGACTAAGACATTAATACAATCTAGTATCCAAAACAGAATGACACAACACATTTTTTTCCTCAAGACTCGCTTTATCGATTATCCAGAGAGAGATAATGTAATAAATTTAGACACAACAGACTTCGTCAACATGTGTTCAAACTTTTCGGTGTAGGAAACACAGAGACGTGCCCCTGCAACGTAGCACCCTAAACTGCTGAGCAGGTTTTCCAGCTTTGTCAACTGTGTGCTGCCAACAGAGACGATTATGAGGGGGGGGGGGGACAATTTAATCTCCAAAGTACTTAACTTGAGATGAAGACAAGAGAAGACAAGACTGAGAGGTCCTGTCAGAGCCTTACCCGGAGCAGCCCAGCGCGGCTTCAGATGCACATCTTCAATCCAACATACTTTTCTGGAAGAAAGATCTTAAGATGACTGTGATGACCATTCATGTCTTCAAAACTAAGACCATGGTGATCTCGAGAGAGGAGAAGAAACACTGGTCATGATGGAATAATATGCATTGGAGCAGATCAGCTAGTTCCGATACCTCGTAGTTATAACAGGTCGAAATGGAGGCATAAGGACAGCTGGCCACTCGAAAAGCAGCTGCTAGAGACTTTTCCAGGCCATAAATGGAGGGTTTCTTAGCAAATTAGAAACTGGTAAGAGGACAAAAAAGGCTGATTACCGCTCTACCTATGTGCCAGTCCTGACTCCGAGTGTGAGTCAGGAGCCAGCTTTAGGCCTCAGAAGTGAGATATCCTAGAAAGGTGGTCCAAGTGACAAGAAAGGACAAAGTCCGCAATCAAACAATACGTGAAGATCATGATACCCAGTCCTTACAAACCCGAGTGGATCAGTCACAGTTACGATGGTTTGGACATGTATGCAAAATGGGTGAAAATCGGCCACCATGGCAGGCATGGGAGGCTAAGAACCAGGCCTCCAGGACGACCCAGGGTCCGCTGGGAAGACAACATCCGACAGTCCCTAACTGACAGAGGACTGAAATGGAACAAAGCCAGAAAGAAAACTGCTGATAGAGAAAGTCTGGCGATCTCTATGGCAAACCTCTATACCCCAAGGTAGAAGAGGAGTAACTAAGATTTAAAAAAAAAAACTATATGTTTAATTATATTTATCTCCCTTAATGTGCAACTTCTATATTAAAACCAATAAATTTGCTGTTGTTTTTAATGCATTCTAAATAACACTGTAATTAGTTTAAACAACAGAAAACTTTACCATTGACCGCTGTTCCTGCACTTTCTTGTACAACGAGGACTTCTCCTGTTCGAAAGATTTCAGCGTAGTGTTGATTTGCTTCATCTTTTCCTGGGCCTCGTTGAGTTCTGCGGTCAGAGACGTGCTCATTTTATTCTTCAAGCTCAAGTCCCTCTCCACTTTCAGCTTCTCTTGCGTCAGTCTGCAGTTTGTCTGTGATTGAATAACACACCTGATTGGTGTTAGATTCTCATTTCGAAAGAACAACACAAATTATTTCTCCTTCTTTTCTCATACTGCTTATGCCCTGTGAGTAGCAGCTGGCTGAACGGTTAGAACGCTGGGCTCTCAAGCGGGAGACCCAGGTTCATACCTCGGTAAGGCTGGGGATTTTCTTCTGTCGGGGGCAAAATAAAATTATCACCTGCACAGTCGTGGCGACAGCACTAGCCATGCGGCCGTAAATCCTCAAGCCAAGACTCCCTGTGTACCGCAAAAGTGGAGAAAGGCAGCAATTGGCGGTCGGCTTTTGCCGTGCATGTACCGCTCAACAGTTCAAGAGCCCCTATTCATACACACACAGTTTAAGTGCCCACCAGGACATCACACAAGCGATAAACACCCGATGACACAAAATGCCACCATGTGGATGAGGATCACCATGGAGAGGTCCCAGAAACCGCGTTCAGCCTTTAGACCATATTTATGGCCAGGCTATATTGCGGCCCCTGGCAAGAGCCAGAATAGGGCTTCGTTAACGAAAAATGTCGTCCTAAAAAGGACGGGAAGTAGATATAATAAGCCTAATCATGCATACTTTAAGTGGCGCTATTTCAAAGCTTTTCACCTTTTACCCTACAACTTGTGACTCATAAAGCTCGTACACAAGGTCCGACAATTAAGTAATGAGACTGATTTCACAAACGGAGCAACAGGAGGAGGTAGGGGGAAAGCAGGAGAAGAAGAATTGATTTATTGTATCTTTCAGTTTGTGTCTGATTCCAGCATGCCATTGGTTGCAATGGGAAGATAACTACATGGACAAGTTACTGTCAGCTATAGTTGACAGTGAAGTTGTGTAACATGGGCTGAATAGCAGGTTACCGTGACAGATTTGTCTGTAGTGCTATAACTTTGGGAAAACCCAAAACCTATTCTAGTAGCATTCATTCATTCATTCATTCATTCATTCATTCATTCATTCATTCATTCATTCATTCATTCATTCATTCATTCATTCATTCATTCATTCATTCATTTATGCATTCCTTCACTTATACATTCATTGTCCTAAAGTGTCATTATATTTCATGTAGGGCTCGTAGTCAATTCCTCCATTCCGTCCTGTCCTGAGCAATAACTTCGATACCACGGATAGAACCCAGTCCGGCAGCTTTGGCCTCTCTTGTCAGCATTCGCTTTAGAGTTTCTCTTAGCCGTCATTATTTCCTAAATCCCTCAGTTTACAATTCCAGTGTCTGTTTGTTTATTCTCTTTTCGTCTCTTCCCCTAATGTGTCCAACATAGCGCCATCTTGTCGGTCTTATTACTGTTGGTAGTGGTAGTTGCCCAGACATTTCTATTATTTCTTCACCCCTCTTGAACACATCCTATTTTGTGTTAATCATTTTTCTCAGGCATTTATTTCAGAATCCTGCTGGTGGGAAATCAACTGAATCATGTTTCCACTCAGAATCGAACCCACAGCCCATATGTTGACAGACGTAAAGGCCCAGAAATATGCCACTAAATTAGAGGCAGGCATCCTGTTCTGTCCATGGGCCAGATTTAGAATTGCTGGTACTTCAGTTTGAATTCACCTCAAACAAAGAAAATATGGGATTTCCCGGCATACTCCAAATATATCAAGTGACATCAAGGTATTCTCTTTTGCAGTTTATATCGATTTCCTTTATATAATGCGTGTTTTGACAACTCAAAACCTAGCCCTAACCTTAAAAACTAACGCTAACCCTAACCTGTGCTAAATGTAGCAACCTCAAATATAGCTATCAGGTTTGTTTGGGGTGAATTATAATTGAAGCACCGAATTACCAAACAGGCCTTATAGAAAAATATCATTGCGTGTGTGCATGCATGCAGTCTATTTAATATTACTCTTGGTGTCCACCGTCAGGTTACAATCGT